CCTAAACCCTGAAACCCCAAACTCTATAAATTCCACCATCTGGCCGAGGTCGGGGCTCCAAGCAGAGTTGGGATCTGATGGGTCAACGAAGAGAGACCTGCCAGATTTAGGATGTATGTGGGGCTTTAGGGCTTTTCCCTCTTAGGGTTTAGGGTTTAGGGTTTAGGTTTTAGGGTTTAGGGGCTTCTTAGCCGGAAAGATCTGCACTCTTTAGGGTTCCTTATTATGCTTCCCAGATATAGTTCCTCACAAAGGTAGGTCTTTCGTGCTACAGCTAGGGTATGCACGGTGTCGGATTGGTTCAACCAATCAACATATATATATATATATATAGATAGGGTCAGGTTTTGGATGTGGTACTGTAGGGATTGGGGCATGTCGGGCATTTAAGGCTTAGGAGATGCAGCCAAATGCAGGGAGGGCCGGGGATAGCTAGAGTCAGGACAGCAGCAAGCGTACTTGGGAAAGATCTTATTCGCCGGCTGTAGAGAAACGGTATTTCGATGGGCCTTACAAGCCTTGAAGGGTCCAAAGCTTCAGCAGTAGGGATCTCAAAATCACATAATTAACTTGGCAAAGCCTAATCAAACCCTAAACCCTAAATCCTCAGCCGGAGGATCCTTGAAATCAACCCCAAGTCTTAGCGAAACAAAGGGACTCAAGGGCCTCCGTCGACCACCGCTGCGCTCCGGCACGAGAGAATCCTGACATGCGGCATGGGGTTTGGAGCTTAGGGTTTAGGGTTTAGGGGAGCTGAGGGGTGAGTTTAGGATAGAACTTCTTTAGTTTAGGGGAGCTTAGGGGTGAGTTAAGGATAGAACTTCTTTCAAGGTGCCGATAAGTTCCACTCAGAAGGGGAATACAAGGGATGCACTGAAGTAACGAGCATACGGCTTTCCCCGGGAGATCTTCCATAACATCTGTGGAAATCTTGTTAAGTGGGTTGCAGCGGATGAAAAAAGAGGTCAAGCAAAACATGCAGCCGATAGGTTGCAAGTTGGAAGCGAGATTGGGGGTTGGGAGGCCCTGAACATGTATGTATGTATCAAACTGGGTGCTGTCGGGAAAATACTAGCTGGCCTTAAGGGAACTTGCTGGGGGACACCAACACACAGAGGCAAACCTCACCTGTGCCGGGCCAAAGCAACCCGGATTTTTCGCACCAAGAGCATATCGGCATCATAAGTCATCTAGCATCAGCAACCAGGAAACCATACCAAGCAGCAGGATGATATTTGCACTGGGAGGCTGGCTGGAGGGAGCTGGAGGGGGAAGGTGGGAGCTTCGGTTGTAGGTATAGAGTAGGAGAGAGGTGGGAGGGAAGTTAAGTTTAGGGGTTCATGGGTTGTTGGAGGGTTGGAGGGGGAGGGTTGGAGGGTTGAAGGGATCCTTCTTCGGGAAGCGCTAGAGTGGCACAGGGTGAGTATATGGTTGACATGTGAAGGTCTTGGCGTCGAAACCCAACATCGACACCGAACCGAACCGCTACCAAGCAATACTACCAATACCTCATCGCTAAATAATCGGGCAAAGATCGGGATCGACCGAAGCGGTAGATAACATCCATGATGACTAACGCATGTACAGCAACAACATATCTCATCCGCATCTAAACTTTCCACCAGAAACACGGAGCAAAACACCACGCATTTTCAACTGGATTTATTGTAACGATTCAGGCCAATTTCAATAGAACGTCGCGAAGTAGAGCAAGCCAAGCTGAAAAGACGCGTGACACCGTGTGCGCCCTTGTGGCCTTGTGGGCACAGGCCCTGTGTCGAAGGAGCTTTGTGGAGTAAGTCCTAAGCCCCGAAACTTACATCCGTGTTCCATTGAAACACTAACCCATCAAAACCCCAAATGTGGAACCCTAGTCCTCCATTCCGTAACCCTCCAAGGAACCCTGGATAAGGCTCCGGGTCCTTGCTGCCGGAAGTCTGACCTGATTAAGGTAGGCGTCTTAATGATTGGAATTCTGCAGTTTACTGTTGAATAGATTGTTTAAAAAAGTGTTGGGCCGGCTTGTATGGCTTAGTGCAGGGACCTTCGTTATTAGAACAAGGGTTCTGGGCATGTTACAATATGATGGTTATTGAAATCCAGTTAAACCAAAGTACAGCCAATGTAAACCCAGCTGAAGTCCAGTTGAGATCAAACTACGATCAGTTGAAATCTAATCAGAGCCTTTGAATATAAGGACTTCAGAAGACTTTGATACTACTGATGATGATTTCAATCCTGCATTACCTTAAGGACCCCTAAACTAAGGGAACTATGGTATATTCCTTAATTTAGGGTAATGCAGGATTTATATCATCAACCGTATGTTGAGCTTTCGGGCCTGCTTATTGGGGCTCGAGGTGAGGGTTCGAAGTTTCGGCTTTGGTGAGTCGGGCGTTCAGGGTTTCAGGCTCCTTGGTCTTGGGTTTAGGGTTTAGGGTTTTGGGGTCTAGGGGTTAGGGATTAGGGTGTTGGGTTTAAGGTTTAGGGTTTTGGGGTTTAGGGTTTAGGGGTTTAGGGATTAGGGGCATGGGTTTACACTCTCACAACTCAGACAAGCCAGGCGAGGACCAATGTGTGCGCAGTCGGTGTGACAAATTTAGAGCTGCCGATGCCTAGGGTTTAGGGGTTTGGGATTGTGGGTTTAGGGATTGGGGGCATGGGTTTAGGGTTTAGAGTTAGCGTTTATGCTGGCGTTAACAGGCTGGGTCATAAGGTTCGGGGTTGAAGGCTTTTCGGGTTTAGGACGGCAAACAAAACAACAGGCGGGCAGGAAAGATGCAAACACAAATGCTCACTAGGCCCATGTAGTCTGGAACCTCCCTTGTCCTATCGCCTGTATACTGAATGAAATTATAGTCTCCCCAAGTTTCTGTAGATGTTAGCCATCATGCCCCTCAGCGCTATCCTGAGTGCTGAGGGAAGGCCCCTACAAGCCGAAGCGTCCGATAGCGTAATCATAAAACATACTCCCACAATATAAGCTACAAAACTGCTACCCAGCCGTTGTAATCGTCCATCACAGCTTGCAACGAATTTCCATCTCAAACCTTGCCCTGCGATGAACGGAGGAGATCTTGCAGTACTTGAGCCATTTTGCTTTTAGGGCGTCGGGGCCTGGTGCCAAGTAGCGTAAAATTAAGCCCTTACCGGCACAATAGCTTGCGATTCGACGCCCTTCAACCTCAGACTCAGAGCCCTACAAATTCTACCGCCCCGGCCCCAAAGGCTTCAACGAAACACAATGCCCAAACCCGAAACAATCATAGGGCTTTAGGGGTGTAGGATTCGGAACTTAAGGCTTTCTTGATGACATCCCAAAGGTCAATGACATCCAGAGTCCCTAAACCCCTTCCTAAACCCCGAAGCCCTGACTGTAAACGCCTGGAAGCCCTCCAGACCAACATAGACACCCCAAAAGAACGCTATATTAACCCTATGAAGGCCGTGTAAAACCCCTATAGGAACCTTTAACATCCATCAACCCTAAACCCTAAACTACCCATAGGCCCTAAAGTAGTTCCTTTTGGGGATCATATATAGAATCCCATAAGGTAATCCCAAAAAGGAACTGCTTTGGGGTCTATGGGTAAAGCCAACCCTAAACCCTAAACCCTAAACCCTAAACCCTAAACCGTTACTAAACTAGAGCAACCCCAAGTCCAAAGCGGGATTGCGACGATCCGTCGTCTGGCAGCTCTTGCAGCTCATCTTCTTCGGCTGCCTCGAGAACCGACCTGTTTCGGGATTTGGGGATGTAGGGTTTTAGTAAAGGTTAGGGGTGTTGGGGAGTTTTGGGGTTCGGGGATTTAGGGTTTAGGGCTTAGTAAAGTTTAGGGGTGTAGGGGTTTGGGAATTTGTGGATTTAGGGTTCAGGAATTAATCTGTCGGTCGTTTCTTCGGTGCAGGCATGAAGTGCACAGCCAAGTCCGGGCTTTGCAAAGTTTGAGAGCGACTTAGACCGGACTTGGCAAGGCTGTATACGCTTTCAAGCAGGTCTTCGTCTTGATCCAGGAGAAGGGAACCTGACAAACTCCGAGCAAAACCGGTCCCGCCGGCTGCTAGGACTCATGAGTTCTCATCTGTATGGGCACCTGTAAGCCTGTAGATCCCGGATGCAATCCGAAATCTACCCCTGAACCCGAAACCCTAAACCCTAAACCCACAACGTCACAAAACCGTAAACCCTAACTTGGGTTTAGGGTTTAGGGTTTAGGGTTTAGGGTTTAGGGTTTAGGGTCCCTAACTAACTAAACCCACCAACTTCCTGGAAGTGATTTGCGCCTTCGGGGCACCCAGCGGTTGAGACTGACCGAGCCAGACGGTGGACCTGGGCATGGCTTACGTTTTCGAGCTGAGGGTTTAGGGTTTAGGGTTTTAGGGTTTGGGGTTTAGGGTTTAGGGATTTAGGGTTTATATTTAGGGTTTAGGGTTTAGGGGTTAAGGGTTTAAGGTTTAGGGTAAGGGTGTAGTACTTGGAGGATCATGGGACTTAGTAAGTACGGTTATAAGTCCCTTAGCTAGGATTATAAGTATAGTTACCCTACTTATAACCCTACCTACTAAGTCCCATGATCCTTTAAGTAGAGGAACCCGATTAAGAAATCCTGGGTCTTTAGTGGGTTCTGAGCCCTTCGGTTGCCTTCTACATGCGTCAGGTAGAAGGAAACCGATGTGAGCCTCGCTCTCGCCATGTCGTAAACCATCTAAAAACTACTATAATTATAATAAGGAGCCCCCCCAAAATGTATTGAATGGTAATTATTAGGCCCCATAATCAAGCTGCTCCTACTAGTTCTATGGCTCATGGTACCGACTTAGATGGATCGTAGGCGCCAAGCAAGTGAGACCAATTATGCCGCCACTTTGCAGCTGTGGTTTCGGTTCCATCCTCTGCTCCGACAATGCCGACAGATCAAAGATAGGTACCAGAAATCCAAGACCTTCTTTTGCAGGTTCGCGGACCACCTTTTTTGCTGCTGCTGTCTAAGCCGCACCGCCTACATCCTTGCAGAATCCTGTGCATTCCATGGCTCCAGCCTTCCGAGCCAAGAATACTCTACCGCGTCACTCTTGCCAGGCAGACGGAAGATGCAGAGGTCCTGGCAGACTGAGGTGGAGGATTGAAAAGTCTGCCTCTCCCAGAGGGTCCACATATACTACCATTATGGAATTAGGTCCCAAAAGACCATCCTTATTATGCTTTCGGGGGCCTAATTCCATAATGGCAGTATATATGGACCCTTTGGGTTTAAGAGATGTTGAGGTCGCTGCGCCCCGGAAAAGTGCGCCGGCTGTGATCACGAGGCCAAGCGCTGCAATCGGCGAGATCCTCTGAAACGGGATGACTTAGCTATGACACCCTGAGGGTTCATGTGCCCAAAAACTTTATATATGTCTATATATATATATATATATGGATATATATATATATATACATATGCTTTGGCCCCCGAAGTACTTTGATTAATATAGGGACTACTTTAAGGCCAAAGTGCATACTATTT